GGTCCCTCTCCTGTTCTGCCCTGATATCTATCTTTCAGTTTGCTTGACTTCAGCTTGACGGCACCTAATTATTTCAACCTCTCTTTTAACAGTTACCGGAACTTGGCCTTCGTTATTCCTAAACATCATTTTATCAAAATCAATTGCAAACTTTCTCGGTAGTAGATAGTCCAATCCTAAGATGCATTCATCTTCAATGTCAGCCAAGTATACTTTCTGTCTGTCCTTTATGCCCATGAGCTCAATAGTTACCCACACTGGTCCCAACCAATTCGCCGCCGTATTTCAAACGTGCAGAGATAGGTGTGATAATTTAGAAACATTTTATTCAAAATAACGAAATAATTTAAAGAGGAGAACTTAATTGTGTAAAATATTAATATTGTTTGTAGTTATGCTCAAAGCTACACAATGGGCTATCTGTGCTCTGCCCACCACTGCTATCGAAACCCGGTTTCTAGCGTTGTAAGGCCGCAGACATGCCACTGGGGGCATCTTAATATTCCTGTGCATATCAACAAGAGAAAGTGTGGAGCTTGTCTGTGCATGTTTAATATTAACAAGAGAAGGTGTGGAGCTTGTCTGTGCATGTTTAATATTAACAAGAGAAGGTGTGGAGCTTGTCTGTGGTTATGGTTTTATTTATTGTTCATTTATCATTCCTTCTATCGTTTAGTTTAACTATAAATTTTTAGTTACATTTAAAAAGCTAATTCACCTTAAAAATAATCACGTTTATTTTGAGTATTTTGCACCAGATTCCCCTAGCGGTGACGTACAGATATCATTAATGTTGCACAAGAGTTTGTAAATTATGTACAGACACTTTGTAATCTCGTGATCTAACAAGTGAACAAAAACTCTACATTGAGATGTAACAAGTTAGTTCACCAGATGTAGCTGAACAGTATTACTGTTGATTATTAATGGTTGTTGTTAATGATTTTGTAGTTTAAATACGGAATATCGTTATTTTGGAATTTTTTAATTTGTCTAGTTTTTGTTCCCGATTCCTTTATTGATAGATATATTTATTAATCTAACAGTCCTTGTTCGGGCGCCATTGTAACTCGCCGCTTCAACCAGGATTGAACAACAACAAATTGTTATACTTTGATAACCACAGAAATCTAAAGTGTGACTTTCAAACAATTGAAATATAAAGTTAATAACTTACCAAAACACAGTAAAGAAACATGTTAATGAAAAATATAACATAAATCCAGTTTAATATGTATTAAATGTTTATTTAATATATAAATCATTTGAAGCTTTGTACTGTCAGTTACAATTTGTTTTAGTGGAACACTCCTGAAGAAGCTGTAAAGCGAAACGTTGGGTGTCCAATTAAAGAAAAATAACAAATATAGATATAGTGTTATAAAGTCGTTTATTTCTAGTATTAAAATATTATTTTACTACAAGTTCAGTTTTACGTTAAGGAAGAATATTTTTAAAATAGATACGACGTTTTGATCACTGATGCAATAATTATCAAGTACACAAATTTTAATTGCAAATAATACCAATGTCTTATCACAAAGTAAAAAAAAAAAAAAAAAAAAGTTAAGTTCGCTCTACACCAGGGGGCCATTATGGTAGAGTTCGTTGTGTTCAAAATGTTATTTATTAATTACGATACCATAGCAACCAAACAAACACAGAAACCGTTGTAAGCTGTACCCGCTTACCTGTCTGCAGCACGAGGATTATTCTGTTTGGGTGAATAGAATGTTTTTACTGGATGTTTTATTATTATTCAACATTTATTTACTGAAATGATTTAGCTGTGATTAAATATAATGTATGATACTAATTATTTCACAAAAAACTAAATTTTCATTACTATATTATATTAACTTTTGTTTATAAACACGTATCAGCAGAATAGGCCTAACAATGTCCCTACAGGAGAAGTTTTGACAACGCTATATTCGCTTATATTGGCTATGGGCATCCGCAAGGGGGGAGGGACACCTTCCTTGGATTAATAAATTAGCGTTTCCCTTGTTATAGCTTTGATATCATTTTAAGATTTTGCCCCCTTTGTAACATATCCTGTGGATGTCTATGATATAGGCTATAATTCTATGTTATCAGATCAAATTGATATTATTAATCATTCTCATTATTATTATAATCTGTAGCAATTTGTATAGTATAGTCTCTGATTTGTGTATCCAAAAATCAACAATTTTGACAATATTGTAAAGATATTGAATGGTATATGAACAAGATCAGTAACAACGTTTACAAGATGAATTTACAAAATGGTTTAGGAAAAAGAAAAATGGGTTAAAGTTAATAAGAGCTTCATTAACAATTTGGATCATCATATTTCAGAGAAGCTCCTTTTTCACTTTTAGTTTTCTTTCAAGCCTCTTTTTGGAAACCCTTTGACCTCTTTCACTTTCTAACCTTCTTTCAACGGGTACCTTATTATGGTTACATCAACATTGATCGCATTTATTGAACTTGAAACAATT